CCACAGTTCGTTCTAGAAGCTCCTTCCACAGAACATAAATCACATAGTAAAGACAGAACATAGCTTGCAACGTTTGTACCTTGCGTTGTGCAGCATCTTTAGCCATCTCCCTAGCCCTCCACTCATCAGCTTCTTTATCCAATCGATCAAATTGCTCGCGCTCCTGAAAATAATAAAAATAAACAGCAAATCACAAATCTAAATATACAGACGAAAGATTCAACTAAGGCACAAATCTTGAAAACGTTCTAAATACGTGATTGCTACCTTTGCTAAATTCTGAGCTATTCGCCTTCTCTTCCTTCTTCGCCAAAGCTTATTTCGTTTATACTTTTCCATTTTATCAGCTAACCGTTTTACAGCAGATTTTTCCTCCCACGGGCTATTCTCATCCATGACAACCCTGTACGGCTCCAGCTGATATCTTAGTTTCGACATTACGGCATTTGCAGCATTCAACGATAGAGATTCTTGAAAGTCGAGTTCGATTTTATTTTCCTTCATAAACTTAGAGAACCTATCAATTGATATGTCAGCATCCCCAATGTGGCCTTCGGTAGTTCTTTCGCTTTCTTTCATCCGAGTTAACATCTCCAGTTCTTTTTGCCTGTTCAGTTCGACTTGATTAAAACCAATAAACAAAGCAACTCAGAATATATATAAAAAATAAATAAAACATAAAATTGAGCAAAATTGTATATCAGATTGAGCTTAATTCAAGTATCTAAGAATTAATCGTATAAAACATAAAGCTAATCGTTCGATTAGGAACAGAAAATTCGCCTTTGTGGTTCCGAAAATCAAATCAAACTGAAATTAAATTCCAAACTCGACAAACAGCTAAACCAAATCAAATTACCAGTTTCTTCTATCCAACCAAAATTCAAAAAAAAAAAAAAAAAAAAAAAAAAACAGGATATCAAATTTAAATTACACGTTCTAGGTTACTGCTTCGAATTCATGCGTCGAGTTAAAAGTTTGTAAAATTCCCTTACATTGCTTTGGCGAGGTTTATCGTATCGTGAAGTTCTTTGAGGTGGCTGCTCACATTTGATCCAGTCCAGAAGGAGGAATGTGGAGGTGGCAACAGCGGCCACGGCGGCGGTGCCCAATGCCTAGGGCCCGGATTAAACGGAGCCCGACCCATTTGATTCATATGGTTCATTTGATTAACCGGAAAATGAAAACTAATCGACTCCGGAAACTAGTAAACAGAAGCACCAGTTAAAAATAATCCCAAATATTACAAATGATTTCAGCCCTCGATGTTTATGAATGAAGGGTAAGAATGACAAATCATCGGACAATTTTTAATAAATGCTGCAAATTTCCTACAATATTATAGGACTCTCATATATGATTGTAAATGAGTCGAGCCGGTTAGTGAACTCGTTGAGCCTGCTCGACAAGAGCTCGAGATCAAACTCAAATTGTTTGAGCCGACGAACTCGAGTTCGAGTTCATCCTTGGCACAAGTTCGCGAGCCGGCTCGCTAGCTGTTTTCTATTTTTTATTTATATTTTCCTAATATAAATATAACTATAATATAATAATAAAATATATAATAGTAATTCAACAATACATACGTATAAAAAAAAATCAACTTAAGTTTTATTTTTAGTTCTATAACTTATTTTATTAAGTAATTTATAATAAAAAAAATAATTTTAATACTATGTAAAAATTGAAAAATTTTAAAAAAAAAAATACTTGAGTTTCATTTAAGTGGAATTCTTGGATCGGCCCACTTAGGTCGAAACTAAACTTTGGGTCTATCCATTAAATCTAAATGCATTATAATAGCTTCGTTGAGCCACTTACACTAGTTGACTTGGTTTGGACCCATTAAATATATGTGAGTGTATATACAATTGTGTATTAATATTTGATTTTTTTATTTTTAAAAGACGAAAGATTTGAAACTACTGAACCTAACCTAAAGTCTACTGATCATGTATAACCAGCAAACACTTGACAGCAATGATCACATGTAAAATCAGAATACGACATAGAGAAGCAATTTTTTTTTTTTGTTTTACTTGTTCAGGGAAACAAATAGATCGGGTGATAGAAATACGGATCAGGAAAATGATGTACCTCTTTTTCCTTCAATAAAGCTGCATAATTAACTGATAGTGCTTTTATTTCCGCCTCAGATTCCTGAAATCTCTTAATCTCTGTCTCGTGTTGTTCCATCTGCAAAACAAAATAAATATTCTGACGCACAGTTGTAAACTAAGTAAAACTAGAAGAGGTAGTAAACAATAATCTACCATAAATCATTTGATTCAAGATCGTTCAACATTTTGCTTGCAATTTATTTATAACCATCCATCCGAAACACACTATTCAGAATAAACTAACATGCTTTTTTTTACCCAAATAACCGACAGTTAATCCAGTTAGCCATCTTCAGACACAAATACATGAATGCTTTATCACAAAACACTGTTAAGCCAGAATATTCATCTGACTTCCCGGCAAATTCTCGAACATCGTACAAACCACCGCCAATAACCTGAATCCATAAATGCAACTTGACAACCCCCATCAACACCAGTGTAAAAAAAATCCTGAATACAACCTAATCAATTCGCAATTTAATCCTGTCAATTTCCGATTGACGAAATTATCAATGAATTAAGATGTTAAAATATCATGCAAGTTCATCTCCTCTCAATTAAACACAAAAAAAAATATAACCAGACAGGGAAAACGAAAAAAAAAAACAGTAAGATCAAATCAATTAAACAAAAATAAGTCCCAATATACCTCATGATTGGAAGGGGAATCGAAGCCATTGACGACTGGCGAATGCGTCGGCGTATTCGTACGACTAAAACTTCGAGAAATTCTCCGCTCAGAAACTGAATTCCCGTTGTTCAATCGATCGCGCGGCGGAGGAGTATACATTGACAGCTCTTCATCGTCGTCGTCATCGTAGACATCGAGTGCGATTTTACTCAGACTCTCCTTCAAATTAGCTACCGATTGTTGATTCTCCGATTTCATCAGTTGTTGTTTATATTTGGCTGAGAAATTTAGGGGAGAAATTCGAATTGGAAGTTGCCGACTATAAACCCTCCTAAAACCTTTGAGCAGGGTTTTGGGCCTCATGTGTATTTACTATTTATATATCTCCAACTTCAAAAGTTGCACAATAGGCAATATGGGCCTAAATTATTAATTTCAATTTTATTTAATACAAAATAATAATAATAAATAAATAAATAAGGTAAATTACAATCATTTTCCTGAGGTATGGTCAAATTATGAAAAGCCCCTGATGTTTGAATAATTACACCCAACTCCATCAACTATCAATCTTCTTACATGTCAACCCTTATGGTGTCAAATTCAACATAATCTTCTAGATTACGCATAATGTTCTCTAGTTTGTACTCGTTTGGTGCAATAATGCAGTTTATGATGCACCACAATATGAGATATATAAGCCAAAAAACACATCTTACGATCATCTTGCTTCAAAATAAGGAGCTCGAATGGAATAAAATAGGTACAAAATTGAGAATATTCTATGTAATCTAGAAGATTCGGCTAAATTTAACACTGCAATGGTGGACGTGTAAGAAGATTTATAATTGAGAGGATAGTTGTAATTATCCAAACATAAGGGTTTTTTTTTTATAATTTGACTATATTTCATGGTGTGGTTGTAATTTACCCTAATAAATAAACATCAACTCTATTTTGATGGGGTTCGGATTTCTTTCTATCTTGAAATTGAAGAAGTTAGTGACTGTGAAGACAGTTTTAATATATTTATTTATGTATAAACATTGATGATATATGTAAGTATTCTAAAAATCGCCAGGCAATGGATGACCTAGTGGTTGGAGTAAGTGAGCATTTGTCAATTGATTCAAGTTCAAATCCCCTTGTCAACGATCGCTAGGTGGAGCTTGTCACACATGGTTAGCTTAGTGTGGTTTACCTCTCTCGTATGGTTTGCAAGTTATTATACGAGAGTGTATGTTTACTCAGTGCATCTATATGGTTGGTTGGGGGTTTCTTCATTTAAAAAAAAAAGTATTCTAAAAATCAGTTTTAATCAGCCAATTTATAAGTTACAGGGGTGTGAATGAGACCTGCTCGCCGGAATTTTTAGGTTCAAGCTCATTTCAAATTTTGCAATTCGAGCTCGATTTCAAGCTCATCGAGTTTTCCTTTTATAGGCTCAACAACTCAAGTTCATATGAAAATTTGCAAGTTTGAGCTCGAGCTCAAGCTGATCGAGTTTTCATTTTATAGGCTCAAGCTCAAGTGGAGTCATCGAGCCCCAACTCAACTCATTTTGTTAATCTTTAGTTATTTTTTTTTTGTTTTATATTAATATTAATTTCTTTTATCAATATAAATTATTTATATGACTTTAATATGTTATTTTTATTTTTAGTTAATTCTTATTTAATATTTTTTTTATTTATTATTATTATATATATTATTTAAATAAAAAAGAAATAAGAAGCTCGGAAGCCGTCTCGCGAGCTAACGAACAACTATAATCGGGCTCAAGCTCGAACTGGCCCTAAAAAAATATCACTAAAAATATTAAATTATTTTTATTAACCTTACAAATTCACTCGGAGTGCATTATGTATTAATTTATTTTGAGGATGCATTATGCATGAGTTAATACTTGAACGGTTAAGATAAAGTTTAATTGCCCTCTAAAAAAGAAAAAAGTTTAATTAATAATTTGAATAGTCCACAACAAAAGAAAAGAATAAAATAAGAGTCCTAAAATAAAATGTCTTTCAAATTTAAACTCGCAAATTCTCTATAACTTTTTTTCCTTAAATTTAGGATTGAGTTAACTTCAATATAATTAACTTTGTGAAATATATATATATTTTTTAAAAGAGTGGAAATGACTTTAAAAAAGTTTATCAAAAAGTAAATGTTAAAAAAAGAGAAAAATATTAAAATAGTCAAAAAATTACTTAAAAGTTAAAATTAATATATTATAAATATTTTATTCCGAAATTCCAAAATCAAATATTACCGTTACACGCCACCTTCACCCACCACACCGCCGCCGTGGTTTTCCCCGTTCTGGTATTACCTTCGTCGTTCCCAACCAAACTCAGAAAACACACACACACACACACACACACACACACACACACACACACACACACACACACACACACACACACACACACACACACACACACACACACACACACACACACACACACACACACACGATTAATGGAAGATTCTCAAATTCGTAGCAGTATAAATCGAACGCAATTCAGAAATCCAATTTCCATGTCAATAATACCATTTCTACTGCGCCACTCAACGTTTCTCCGATTCCTTTTTCACCACCGCCGCCGCCACCGTCAATGGCGCCACCAAATCCTACTCCGCCTCCCTCAGACTCCGCCGCGAGTAACTCTGACAATTCAAACACCTCCTCCTCCTCCTCTATTGCCGCCGCCGCTTTCTCTTCCAAAATGCTGAAGTGTCTCTGGATCCCCAAACTCAAATTCAAATGCAAATTCAAATTCAGTCCAGTCATCGGAATCCTCAGCCACCCAGGGGACGGGAATTCCGGCAAATTCAACAACGCCCCCAGCGCCTCGTACATCGCCGCCTCTTATGTGAAGTTTGTTGAGTCCGCCGGTGCTAGGGTTATCCCCCTCATCTACAACGAACCCTCGGAGCTTCGTAAAGAGGTAAATCACTGCTTACTGTGTGAATTAGGTGTATAATTTGTGTTGTTTTCGTAATGTACATGGTTTGTTAGTCTATGAATCGGCCCATGATTTGCATACATTTGTAACTCGATCTAATTACAGTAGAACCTCGATAAATTAATAACCTCGCTTATAATAAATTAATAAATTATTATCTCGATAATTTAATATTTCGCTAAATTAATAGAATTTCCCTAGTCCGGACTGTATTAATTTATAGATGTTTAACTGTTTGTGGTTTGATGAGAATAATAAGGGATTGGGTATATGGAGTGTTTAATTGTACAATCTTTAAGGATTAACACGAGTTTGAACGAGGATTTTACTCATCGTCTCTCTCTCTCTCTCTCTCTCTCTCTCTCTCTCTCTCTCTCTTTCCTCTCTTTTGTTATTGAAAAGAAAAACTCAACTATCATATATGTTTTAATTTCAAAGATGTTTTCCGATGCAATGATGAATTGATTTGGTGCTGATGATGTTTTGCTTCATTACTTCTTCTCATATTTCTTCTATTATGATGAATTAGCAAATTACCCCTGCTGACAGCTTTATTATCCTTTAAGGCCTCGTTTGGTTGGGAAGATTAGCCATGATTAACTAAATAATAGGAATTTGTTTGATGTTTGGTATCCCCAATAATTAGCGGGGTCGACCGGCAAATATTATGTTATCATGTATTATGTTGCCTTCTAGGCATGTTTTTTTATTGGATCACCGAAGGTCCAATAATATAATTGGGTTTCATTAGATTATTTAAATTTATCTTGGCAACCAAACGAGGCCTACGAGTATTGTACGATTAATATCCCTGAAAATTGCGAGAGTTAACTTTGTAATTCTATGCTGCAGAAACTCAATTTGGTCAATGGAGTGATCTTTACTGGAGGGCGGTCCAAAAAAACTTCCTACTTTGACGTTGTTGAGTCGATATTTGAGGTACGTCACAATCTCTACTACTTGTGCTAAAACTGTAACCAATATTTTCTCTCCTGCCTAGTTATGCCATAGAAAATGAAAACGAGGTGATAAAAAAATCCTGTAGTTTTACTGTTGTCTTAGCTTATGATAAAATATACACGGTTAAAATAAAAGACGCCCTCTCTTTTCTTCTTTTCTTTTTCCTGGGCAAGTGCCCTGTGATTTGGTCGGTTCGGATCTTCCATGACATGTAAAAAAACTAAGTGATGCTTTAGCGATTGATATAATCATATCCAGTTAAGCAGGGTGGTATATCTATATAAAGTTCAACAATCAATATGGTGCTATTCGAATCGTGGAAAATGAGATGTCGAAGAAAATTGCATCTTTGAGTTATGAGTTACGAGTTATGACTGTTTTCGTATCTGTTTTTTGCAGTATGTTCTGAGAAAGAATAATGCTGGAAATCATTTCCCGTTGCTTGCCATCTGCTTAGGTTTTGAACTATTAGCCATGGTCGTCAGTGAGGTAAGCCGTCCCGAAGCATGCACACATATATTTGTGTCAATTAAAATCCGAGCTTTATGAGAGTCATTAAAAAATCATTTATGAACTGGCGATCATTGTGTATTGAAGTCCTTCGTTATATATTTCAAACCCCTGCCAGTTTGACCTGCGGTAACATTTCCTGTCTTGAAGCTCGTTTCTTAGGATTTTGCTTGCATTGAGCTTCTCTTAGACTATGCCATGACTTCTAATTTGCAGTCTAGTACTTTCGACCGTAGATTGATTTGATTAGCTTTGACGTGTTGGTCTATCTAATGTTGCTGTTTTATTATTGTTCAGAACAAAAACATCCTGGAGAAATTCGATGCAAAAAATCAAGCCTCTACATTGAAATTTACGAAAAACATAAATCTGAATGGAACTTTATTTCAAAGGTAATAACTGCACTTAATTTGATTTAAGTTTTCTAGTTTGTTTTCGTAATGGAAGTATTTCAACTTTAGTTGACATTACACATTTAACGATGATTTTGACATGCTAGACTAACACAAAGCACGATGCTCATATAATCCCTACATGCCAATTTCTCGTGCGTTCTTAATTTCCACCTTTGTGTTTACCTTTGAATAAACAAAATCTGATATTTAGTTTCCAAATTTTGTGGATTAGAATCTGATAAGGATTCTTGTGATTTACTTTTGCATTAAAACTTTATCGTTGTTTAATCATATTGGTCTACCGTAGATTGGTATCATTTAATTAAAGTTATCAATTTCCTTTCGCAGTTTCCCTCCAGATTTGCTCGAGAAGCTAAGTACAAAATGTCTGGCTAAGCAAAATCATAGCGTAAGTTCACTTTTCTCTCCTGTTTCATGTGATGATATTGTGTATTTAAATCTCAGTGCATTGCAACAATTGTGTGCATGACAGTATGGGATATCACCCGAGAAGTTCCGGAAGACCAAAAGTCTACGTCGTTTCTTCAAGATATTAACAACTAGTGCAGACAAAAAGAACAAGGTATCCAAAATTCGTTTCATGTACATTTTTTGACACCTGAGATTTATCATTAATCGTATCCCGTATGATCAATTTGTATCAGGACTACGTTTCGACGGTTCAAGCACACAAATATCCAGTGACTGCTGTACAGTGGCATCCAGAGGTATTATCTGTATTACATCACATTTTTAGACTTGCTTAACCGATCCACGTTTGTGTGTACCAAATATCACATTTTCCGTATGGTTGTGGATTGGCCAACAAATAAACTTATGTATGTTTAAGGTCAGTTAAAATGTTTGTCTGGTGCAGAAAATTGCTTATGATTCGGGCTTATCAGTTCAAGTCAGTAAACAAGTTGCCAACTTTTTTGTGAGGTAATATTTTAGTCAAATTTTGTGCGTTAGCTCTTTGGCATGCTCTCGTTGGTTAGTTTATTTACCAATATAAGGCGAATTAGATTTATAATGCACTAAAGTTCAGTTTGCAAACATTTAGGCCATAGTACGACGTTGTAGTTTCAGTTGTTAAGTATCAGTGAAGTGTGTGTGTGTAGTGAGAGTCAATTGAATGTGGTTTTTTTCTCTCCATTTGCTAATTCTTTAACAATTCTCTCAGGGAGGCTCGGATGTCGAAGAACAGGCCATCTTCCCGGAAAGTGCAGGCCAATCTCATTCGTAATTGTCGTCACACAATTCGTGGAAACGCTGGGTAACTCTCTCTCTCTCTCTCTCTCTCTCTCTCTCTCTCTCTCTCTCTCTCTCTCTCTCTCTCTCTCTCTCTCTCTCTCTCTCTCTCTCTCTAAACTTGTTTCGAAATTTGTCATGTTTGCAGGAAGGAGGTTTACATTTTCAGCTAAGATTTCCGGCAATTCGCACGAGATGTAGATATCATCGACGAATAAGAAATATAAAAGGTGTAAAATAAAACGTGTGAGATAAATGTGTTTTAACACACCATCAAAAAGTGTCGATAATAATTTATATTTTGTGAACCAGAAACTTTGATTTATAGTAGTTGCTGCAGCACTTCTAATAACTTCTATCTGTGTGCTTTGTAAATCAATATGAATGTTAACAGTTTTAAAAAGTGAGTTTCTAATTATAAAATATCTTGTAGAATTGATATCCTTCATCATGGCTTAGACAAATTTGTATGATATAGTTCACAAATTTCTCGTGTGATTTGCGAATTATTGCAAGTCAATGTAAAATTATTGTCGGTTTCGTTTTTTGGAATAATATTTTTTGTTCTATATTCCAAAAACTTAATTTCGATTTTTTTTTCAATTTTTTTGGATCGGAATTGGAATATATATATATATATATATATATGAGATTCTGATTTCCGATCCAATTTCAATTTTCGAAAATAATTCTGGAACTTTCATTTTTTTTCGAAAATTATACTTATAAGTATCAATATTATTATATATTTTTGTATTTTAGGAGACTAAAAAATTGAGTTTTTCGATTACCCACCAATTCCCATACTATTATTTCCGATTTCAAAATAAACTTTTTAATTCCAATTTTTTTTTTTAATTTCTGACTTTGTTGGAATGGAATTGGGATGAATTTTTCACTTTCGAAGAAAATAGGAAGTTTTTTGAAATTACTTATTCCGATCCGAATCGTTCGATTTCCACCCCTAGTTAATAGGTTAAAAAAGGATTTTGATAGAAGTTAGAAGTCTCGTACTAAAAATATACAATTAAACCTCTCTAAATTAATACAGTCGGAACTAACAAAATTATATCAATTTAGCGAAATATTAAATTATCGAACTAAAATCTAATACGTTTTTACCGAGTTGGGATCGTAAGAAAATACTATTTAAACAAGATTATTAATTTATCGAAGTTCTACTATATTGTATAAGGACACTATTTTTTTTCCCGCCTTTTTGTATAAGTTGTTGGATTGAAATAAAGGCGCGGATGCAACTCAAAAATAAGTTTTTCTCCAAGGGTTTTAATTCTTACTTGAGTTTTCTTGAGGATTAGTTAATACTTGAACTGTTAAAATAAAGTTTAATTGCCCTCTAAAAAAGATAAAAATTTAATTAATAATTTGGATAGTCCACAAACAAAAGAAAAGAATAAAATAAGTCCTAAAATAAAATGTCTTTCAAATTTAGACTACAAAATTCTCTATAACTTTTTTTTCCATAATTTAGGATTGAGTTAACTTCAATATAATAACTATGTGGAATATATATTTTTTTGAAGAGTGGAATTGCCTTTTGAAAAAGTTATCAAAAAGAAAATGTTAAAAAAAGAGAAAAACAGTAAAACAAATTACTTAAAATTAATATATTATAAATATTTTATTCCGAAATTCCCGATCAAATATTACCGTTACACGCCACCTTCACCCACCACACCGCCACCGTGGTTTCCCCGTTCTGGTATTACCTTCGTCGTTCCCAACCAAACTGGGAAAAAAACACACACACAGAGATGATAAATGGAAAATTCTCAAATTCGTAGCAGTATAAATCGAACGCAATTCAGAAATCCAATTTCCATGTCAACAATACCATTTCTACTGCGCCACTCAACGTTTTTCCGATTCCCTTTTCACCACCGCCGCCGCCACCGTCAATGGCGCCACCGAATCCTACGCCGCCTTCTCCCTCAGCCTCCGCCGCGAGTAACTCCGACGCTTCAAACACCTCCACCTCCTCCTCCTCTTCTCTCCCACCGCTTTCCCTGACCTCTATCGCCGCCGCCGCCGCCGCCGCTTCCTCTTCCAACCAGCTGAACTGTCTCTGGATCCACTTCCTCATCGCACTTTGCAAGGAGGTCACTACCTGCACCGCCGCCGACGCCGATTCCACCACGGAGGCGCTCCTCCTTCCCAACAAAGCCGTTGATTCCCACGCGGTTTCGCGGGTGCCCCGACCGATCCCCAAACTCAAATTCACTCCCGTCATCGGGATCCTCAGCCACCCAGGGAACGGCGGGTCCGGCAGCTCCAACAAAGCGACTAAAGCTTCGTACATCGCCGCCTCTTATGTGAAATTCGTCGAGTCCGCCGGTGCTAGGGTTATTCCCCTCATCTACAACGAACCGTTGAAGGTTATTAACGAGGTAAACCACTGCTTAATTACTGTGTGATTATTGATTTGCATACATTTGTAAACTCAATTCTCAGTCTCTCGGATCATGTAATTAATCATGTGGATTTACTTAGATAATAAGGGATTAGGTATTTCTTCTATTATGATGAATTGGCAGATTGCAAGAGTTAACTTAGTAATTCTATGCTGCAGAAACTCAATTTGGTTAATGGAGTGATCTTTACTGGAGGGACTGCCAAAAGCGGTGTCTACTTCGACGTTGTTAAATCGATCTTTAAGGTAATTGATTCACAATCTTTAGTACTTGTGCTAAAATTGTAACCAATTTTTTCTCTCGTTCTTAGTTATGCCATGGAAAATGAAAACGAAGTGATAAAAGTGCCGTGTAATTTGGTCTGGTCCGACGAAGTGATGCTTTAGTGATTTGATATATAATCATATCCAGTTAAGCAGGGTGGTTTATCTATATCCCATTCCACAATCGATAAAGTTCAAGAAGTAAATTGCATCTTTGAGATATGAGTTACTGAGTTATGACTGTTTTTGTATCTGTTTTTTTGCAGAGTGTTCTGAGAAGGAATGATGCTGGAGAACAGTTCCCTTTGCTTGCCATCTGCTTAGGTTTTGAACTAATAACCATGATCGTCAGTGAGGTAAGCCGTCTCGTAGCATGCACACAGGTATTCGTGTCAATTAAAATCTGTCATTATCATTGCAAAATAATGTCATGGATTAGAGGAAAGGTTTTCACAAATCCCGAGCTTTATGAGATTCATTAAAAAAATCTTTTAAAAAATCTAGTTCTTTCGACTATAGGTTCATTTGATCTGCTTCGACGTGTTGCTCTATCTAATGTTACCATTTTATTATTGTTCAGAAAAAAAACATCCTGGAAACATTCGATGCAAAAAATCACGCTTCTACATTGAAAATCATGGGGAACATTGATGTGAAAGAAACTTTATTTCAGAGGTAATAACTGCACTTAATTCGATTAAGTTTTTAGTTTGTTTTGGAATGGAAGTATTTTAACTTTAGTTCACATTACTCGTTTAGTGATGATTTTGACATGCTATTAGAGCTGAAGTTAACGAACTATATGAATTTTTATGTTATTATTTCTTATGTGCGTAGTGCTCGTTTCAGTTTCCACTTTTGGATATCTAGTAGATTGTATATGTATGCTTTACCTTTGAATAAAAGATATCAATTTCCTTTCTCAGCTTCCCCCCGGATTTGCTAAAAAAACTAAGTAAAGAACGCCTGGTTATGCAAAATCATCGTGTAAGTTCACATTCCTCTATTTTAATGTAAAAAAAAAAATATTAATTAATTATTTAGTTATGTAGAATGTCTTTTTCTTTCTATAACAATTTCAATTTTCTCCATGTGACAGTATGGGATATCACCTAAGAAGTTCGTAAAGAACGATAAGCTACGTGGTTTCTTCAATATATTAACAATCACTGAAGATAGAAAGAAGCAGGTTTCTGTGGAACCATCTTTTTAGGATATTTATCTTAACTTTTCAAATTTGTTTCCCATAGATTCGTTTCAAGTGAATCTTTTGACACCTGGGATTTATCACTAATAATATCCCGTATGATCAATTTGTATCAGCTCTATGTTTCGACTGTTCAAGCACACAAGTATCCCGTGACTGGTGTTCAGTGGCATCCAGAGGTATTATCTATATTATAATTTTTATTTATATTGGAGGATTTAAATTGTTATCTATTAATAAAAATTCTTATTAGAGCTAATTTAGTTGTCCATTTCATTATGGTCAAATAATAATATACATGGATACCGTTTAAGGTCAGTTAAAATGTTTGTCTGGTCCAGAAAAATGCTTATGATCAGAGCTTATCAGCGACTCCACGCTCGAAAGATGCAGTTAAAGTCACTAAATACGTTGCCAACTTTTTTGTGAGGTAATATTTTTGTCAAATTTTATGCGTCGGCTATTTTCGCGTTCTATGATAAGTACAGTAAGTGTACCTCAATCTCTCGTCGGTTAGTTGATTTACCAACATAAGGCGAATAAATTTATAATGCACTAAAGCTCAGGTGGCAAACATTTAGGCTAATTCTTTTAACAATTCTATCTCAGGGAGGCTCGGATGTCTAAGAACAGACCATCTACCCGTAAAGTGCTCGACAACCTCATTTATAATTATAGTCCTACGTATTGTGGAAAGGCTGGGTAACTCTCTCTCTCTCTCTCTCTCTCTCTCTCTCTCTCTCTCTCTCTCTCTCTCTCTCTCTCTCTCTCTCTCTCTCTCTCTCTCTCTCTCTCTCTCACACACACACACACGCACACACAACTTGTTTACAAATTTGTCATGTTTGCAGGAAAGAGGTTTACATTTTCAGCTAAGCTTTCCGGCAATTCGCACGAGATGTAGATATCGTCGACGAATAAGAAATATAAAAGGTGTAAAATAAAACGTGTGAGAAATATGTGCTTTTATCACACCATCAAAAAGTGTCAATAATAATTTATATATGTGAACCAGAAACTTTGATTTATAGTAGTTGCTGCAGCACTTCGAATAACTTCTATCTGTCTGCTCTGTGGATTATATTGTAAAATCAATATGAATATTAATAGTTTTAGAAATCGAGTTTCTAATAACAAAATATATTGGTATACAGACATATTTTATTTTATTTTTGCATAAGTTTTTCGATTGAAATAAGGGTAAATTACGCCCACCCCTTAGGAAAGTGTTTTTGTAAAGGCTTAAGATGGTTTTTGCAAAAGCTTTTAAAAAAATAAAAGTTTGTGATTATGGTGGTGTTTACAAATGTTCTTTCAAAGTGATTATGAACTTTTTAGTGTTTAAAATAGCTGGTTCGAACCAGAAAAAACTCATAATCACTTTGGAAAAGTATATGTAAACACCACCTACGAGTTAAGTGAATAATAAGTAATTATTTCTAAAAGTAAGGGGAAATCAATTTCCATCAATTATTTTAAGAGAAGTTGATCGTGGAGTGCTTTTATATTTTAGCTTAAAGTAACTTATTTTAAGACAAGTAGCAGTAAAAATTGGCATT